TGATGTAATTCCGCAGTGCACGAAGACTGTAGGATGTGATCAAAGAATTCACTTGTGGTGTTTGCAGACAAAACATAGCGTGGTACAAGGCAGCAGCGATGCGACAAGGCTGAGTCGCGTGTGGGAAGCCACGCCACGCCAAATGTAATTGGCTAAGGCCATCGTTCTTTGTAACAACCCCTCTTGTACCAAAAGCAAACTCATCAAATCGCGTCAATCGAAATGTCTTGCTGACGTCTTGTACTCATAGTAGATGTCAGATGCAGATATTTGTTCAACCAATTGGCCTTCTTCGTACTTTGTCTAAAGGCTGTAGCCTACGTGCGATCTATTCGTTCTTCGCATGCCCTGATTCGCAGTAGATATTTGTAATTTAGCACCTGCCAACACGACATAACGACTCGAAATGCATCTCCACGATCTGGCGGCACTCGCTCTTCTTTATATTGCTGCCGCTGCGCCGCTTATACCGCCACAAGTCGGTCGCGCCGAGAACAAAGAGCAAGGAGCTCTTGCTTTGTGCAAATGCATTTGTGCAGCTGGAGGAATCAAGTTGCTTCAACTTCATCAAGGGGGTTCAGCGAGTTGCCGTTGCGATGACCTCGGTTCTTTCCTCTGCTAGGACGGAGAGTGTCAAAACTACTGCAGACGTCAACGATATGTGTTCATCTTTTCTCCAGTCCGTTGTGCCCACGTTGAAGGTAGCAATAGAGCCGTCCCTCTCGCCTGCCCTCAAGGCAACATCACAGAATGCTGGGTTTATATCACGCGAGGATTTCGACGTCGCTATTATTTGGCACAATATGTATGCTCCTAGCAATTTCACCACGTTCTGCAAAGAGTTCTGAGGACCCATAGAACGGATTTTAGTTGATTTTGCGAAAGTATTAGAGAGTGGCATTTTTGAGGAGATGTTGAGTGTGGGTGCAAGTAAGCACATGTTCTGCGTGACGGTGGTGTGCACGAAGAACAAGGAGGATGGGGTCAGCGAACAGATCGGAAGTGTACTTTGAGTGATCATTCTGAGGAGCGAGGTGGGCTTCGTCATGTTATGCAATCTGAGATGGCAATAGTGAAGAAGAGATGTCGAGAATATTCCCTTGCTCTTGAACAGCAGTCGTATTATATCCCGCATCTCTTGGACTGCTCACTCGTGTCTTTTCTTTTGCACTTTGACAGGGATCGCGACAGCCGTACACTACTAGTCGTGCCTACGCGAAGATGGTGTAGCATTCGCGTGCTGACCCTAACTCTCTGGTAGTTCGCGGTGCATCAGCGAGCGCGAGTTACAAGTCGCAGCGAATAAAACGGCAAACGAGGCTTCGTGTAGCGAATTGAGATGTGTTGAGCGGCTTGTTCGCATCGATAGGTGTTGAGTCGGAGAGGATCGGGATGTGTTGAGAATTGGCGTTGGCGGACCCTAATCGCTTAGCGCGAAAGCGGATCCCCGAGCTGGCGGAGCTGAGCAACTTTTCGAACCAACACCCTCAGCAGTCAACCTCACGGCATACCCACGCCTCTCCCTCCGCTCCTTCCCCTCACACCTCACAATGCTGTCCAGGACAATTAGGCGGAACATTGCGTCGCCCTTCCGACGCAATGTCGTCGCCCCCGCCGCGCGACCCGCCTTCAGCAGGTTCGTGACCACGGATGCGGCCTCATCGCACACCGACCCGGCCAACGTGCCATCGGTAAGACGACACCCAGAAATGCCGATAGAGTGGCTGTAGCCACGGGACAGATAATTGCCCGTCTGCAGGAGGATGACAAGCCCTTCGAGATCCGCCTCTCCGACGAGGCCTTTGAGACGTACGAGCTCGACCCGCCGCCATACACAATGGAAGTTACCAAGAAGGAGCTGAAGAAGATGTACTACGACATGGTCGCCGTGCGGTATGAAACACCACAATTGCAGGATTTGGCTACAAGCAGGGTCTAATATGGAACAGACGCATGGAAATGGCCGCCGACAGGCTCTACAAGGAGAAGAAGATCCGGGGTTTCTGCCATCTGTCTACCGGTCAGGAAGCCGTCGCCGTCGGTATCGAACACGCTATCGAGCGCGCCGACCATCTCATTACCGCCTACCGTTGCCACGGCTTCGCTCTGATGCGCGGCGCAACCGTCAAGTCCATTATCGGTGAACTCCTCGGCAGGAGAGAGGGTATCGCTTACGGAAAGGGTGGATCTATGCACATGTTCGCCCCCGGTTTCTACGGTGGTAACGGTATCGTCGGTGCCCAGGTTCATGTCGGAGCTGGTATTGCCTTCGCATGCCAGTACGAGAACAAGAAGAACGTCACCCTTGCTCTCTACGGAGACGGTGCTTCCAACCAGGGTCAGGTCTTTGAGGCCTTCAACATGGCCAAGCTCTGGAACTTGCCCGTCATCTTCGGTTGCGAGAGTGCGTGTACCCTTCAAAAGAGCATGCTGCGATTTTGCTAATACCCCTCAGACAACAAGTACGGTATGGGAACCGCTGCCAACCGCTCGTCTGCCCTCACCGACTACTACAAGCGTGGACAGTACATCCCTGGTCTGAAGATCAACGGTATGGATGTCCTCGCCGTCAAGGCCGCTGTCAAGTACGGAAAGGAGTACGCTGCTGCTGGCAAGGGTCCTCTCGTCTACGAATACGTCACCTACCGTTACGGAGGACACTCCATGTCCGACCCTGGAACTACTTACCGAGTGAGTCATACCGCAGTGCCGAATTCTAGAGCGTATACTAACAAGCATTGGTAGACCCGTGAGGAGATTCAGCGCATGCGCAGCACCAACGACCCCATCGCCGGACTCAAGCAGAAGCTCCTTGACTGGGGTGTCACTTCCGAGGAGGAGCTCAAGTCCATCGACAAGCAAGCACGCTCCGACGTCGACGAGGAGGTTGCCATTGCGGAGAAGATGGCCGTTCCCGAGGCCACTGGCAAGGTACTATACGAGGACATCTACGTTCGTGGCTCCGAGCCCGAGTTCCTGAGGGGACGTATCCCAGAAGAGAACTTCTACTACACCGAGCACGACATGGGTGGTGAGAAGAAGCCCGTCGCCAGGACAGCATAAAGCTTTCATGTGACTTATGGAGCTTATGAAGGAAGGACGACAGGACGATGAACGGATCTGTAATTCTAGGATTTAGAGGCTTCTACATGCGTGTAAACAGCTAGGGAGCGTGGTCTTGCATTGAATGACATTTCTCGAAACTCAACTCTGTGTCTTGATACAGTGCGTCATTGGAGGCACGGTTCTATACATCATTCAACTCGTGCGAGACTTCAGAAATATACCATTATGAATACATGCAGGCATAGTTAGTAATGCCTAGCGCAAAGAGAGGACCTGATGTCAATGACTTGCACTTCAGATACTTTTTCGATGGGACCATTTAGACCGGTCGAACCACGATAGGCGACTTCTTCAGAATCCGTTGACAGTGACAGTGGGGTACGTTGCGCTGGATGGGATCTTCCTTCGCACCTGCTGGGCTGTGCAACCCATGGGACTACGTGATAGCGCATCAACCATATCTTCAGCGATATAAACCGTCAGATCGATTAGGTTCAGCTATCGGACTGACGATTGTATAGTGGGAGGCAATGTCGCATGCGGCACGCCACACGCCACTAGAAAACGAAACATCGACGTACCAACGCATGCAGGCTAGAACGTGACCAGGAGTGTGCTACATATAGTAATTCGTCCAAGATATATGGTTCTATAGTATCCGTCAACGGAATGATAAGGTGAGGAGAAAGGATCATTCTTGCTGATAGGCTGGCGGGTTGGTAACAGAGACAACGCATAAGTTCTCGTTGCCTTTTGTGTTTTACCTGCAGTTATATCGGGTACAAAACTCAATACCTAACTCAGGCCGCAAGTTCGTATAGCCTGTTTCCTGTGGGTTTAATCGCATGTGACGTATCTGAACAGTAGCAACACTAAGGGAATCAACTTCTGCATCCACGACTGATTCTATTCCAGTCGTCATTCTGGCCGCGATCTAAAAAGCAAGACTATGGATAGGGTGGTATTTCTTATAGAGCGGAATAATTGGTTTCCAGATACATCTGTTAGTCTTGTGGTGAAATTCAAGTATGATGATCTGTATAGGATGTTGATGCTCTCGAGTCCATCACCAAACAAGGCAGCCACTGATCTACAGGAGTCATTTCTGATAATAGGGTAATACTACTTACTTCAGCTGCATAGAGATCGTACAAGATGTTTAAGAAAGTACCTCTGGATGAGTCTTACTATACTAAATTACTTAACCGCGTTGTGTTGCTCTGCCCTCGCATCAGCACTGTTCTAGCATAATCGAGAAAGAGTACGCTCATACACGATCAGTGTGACTCAAGGGCTGCTAGTGGATACAGAGAAATGCCATATGACATATTTTGAAGCCCAAACAAACTGATGTCATGCTGTCAAGTGTGCTGATCCGAGAGTAAAGTGTATGAATAACGCCACATAAAAGTGCATTGTTGAACGGATATAGTCATTAATGGAACTTGGTAAATACCATAGTTTTTGTACCAACTCAGGTTTCCAAGATACCAGAATACGTATTGTGCAATGTAATGACAGTGAAATAGAACATGTGTGCCAGGACGTATATATGGCAACACGGCGATAGATCTGTAGGGACTGATGGGGAAAAAACGTATACTTGTGATGAACACATACTTCCACCTCCCTCTTACTTCCAGATGTACTTGCAAGCCTGCGTCGCTCAGTGTCTCCGCGACACGTCGACTGGCTGGGCCAGGAAATTTAGCTGTTCCAGTTTGATCTGTCCTTCTTCTTTGCTCAGAATGATTCGAGCACAGCAAATGCACCGCATAACTTAACCACCGCGCGTAGTTCAGACTCTCCATATATATGAGAAGAGTACTTCCGTCAGCGAAGAAAAGCGAGGCTGAAAGTGAAGGTAGGGAGAGAGGTCTCATAAGATGCATGACCACAAACAAAAGAAACGTATGGACAGGGGGCGCCAGGCGTCATTGAGGAGGAACAAGAACAGAAAAGGTGCGTGCGCTCTTATCGTACGAGATCCATTTGTTGCGCTGCGTAGAGTCAGTTGACACAAAGAACCAATGGGCACACAGAGGTCTTACCTTCGAAAGTCGGAAACCCAGTCTCAAAACTCTTTCCATACGGTTTTTGACCGTACTAGCCAATTCTAGGTACCTCTCCTCCTCGTCGTGCTCTCTTCGAAACCAGTTCTTTGGGAAGTAGTCATGCGCCCAAATCAAGCCTCGTACGAGGTAGTCTTCCGGTAATGGCAGCTCGTCTTCTCGCTCGCCTTCTCCAGGAAACATGTCAGAAGTGAGTACCGTATCAATATTCTGTGTCTGGTTGTTTGACTGGGTTTGAATTTGGTTTTCGGTCTTGACCAACGTATTCAGAAAAGCAACAAGCTCGGCCCAGGGAGTGTCAGCCAACAGACCAGAAACATATATACTAGAAGCGAATGAGTCGAGGAAAGCGAGCATGATGTGTACGTGAGGAAGGACGTTCTTGTCCCCGATCCGGCGGAGCACCAGCGCAAATGTCTCGTTGGTGATGAGTTTTGCGTTAATGAACGTCGCATCGTTGGGTAGTTCAGCCAGTCCCTTATGAAGTTCTCGCTCGCTGATGGATGGTTGGGTCGGATTTTGTTGGTCAGCTGGAGACGCAGTCCGAATTTTGTCCTCGTCGGCGCTTGGGAGGGATTCCTGCGCCTGTTTGTAGATCTGAGTCAGGAACGCCTGGCGAAGAAAATTGTCGTTGAGCCCGTATTCAAACCAACCGGCAATGTTGGTCACCGCGATGTATACGCCCTGTTCCTTCCACTTTGCTGTTACGCGTCCAATGTGATTGTCTAGGTTTTCAATGAACTCTGTCTTTGCGCTCAGGAAGCCGACTGTAAGCGCTTCTTCATCTTTATCCTTGTCTTCGTCTGTTCTGGTCCTCTCAAACTGAAGACCGTGCGCTTTGATGAAGCTAGTATCGATTGCAAGAGCATGCGTAATAGTTGCGGCTGCACGTCCAATGATGGGATCCAGGAGAGTCAAGATAGACTCTCTTGCGCTCTGGAATGGCTTGACGCAAGTTAGGGATCTAGAGTAGTAGTACATCTGTTGGAGGGCATTTGGACGTGCCAGAATAGCCAAATGATGATAAAGTCGGCCAACAGTAGGGTTTTTATCAGCGGCTTTCGTGTACCAAGAGCGCGCGACACCCGCCCAAGTCTCACGATCGCGGACATCCTCATCCTCAATAGCCATCCGGTAGCGTCCTAGATCCCCTAGGCACTCGATCCACGTATCCTCGAAAGCCGGAACTGTTTCGTACAACAGCGCCATCATCTGATACGCCAAATATATGAATGCCAGCATGTAATCGATACTGTCAGGAAGACGCCTCCGAAGTAACTCCAAAAAAGAATGGATCCCATGTTTCCACATGCGTGCCGGCATGGAATATTTAGCCGCAAGACGCCGAAGGGCGGGTGAAGCTGATGGATGCTGACTAGCCAAGAAAAAATCATGATGCTCATGTAAGAGCGTACGGTGAAGAGCGATCAAGGCCTGCCAATGATCAGACGCAAGTTTGGTAGTACTCTCTTGGACAGCAACAGCTTGTGCGCGATCCACATGTATACACTTGGTTTCCACCATAGTTAATCCTGCGTAGATAGATTTCACTTCAGATGCAAGCTGCTCTTGCGAGATAGGTCGACTGTCAGGCTGCAATAACAAACCCGGATATCGAGGATCATAACGCTGGAGCTCAATGAGACCTGGTTGACGTTGAGCTTGCTGAGGTTTAGGTATAGATCTTTGGGTAGTCCGAGCAGGTGAGTGATGTTTTGGTGATTGGAATTGAGTACTCTTCGTAGCTTCTGCTGAAAATTCGCTGGAAGGCTCGGGCGTCGTCTGATATGGGGATGAGGTACCTTTAGTGCTCTGCTTAGGGTCGAAAAGGCGTGCATCTTGTGGTTTCGGCCGTGTTCGATCCGATACAACGGTATGAGGGATCTGCCTTGAATATTCCGAATCGAATACTTCCACGTGGGAAGGACCCTTTCCTCTCGGGCTAGTGAACTCATGCTCTGCCGGTCGTTTCTTACCGGATGGTGGCGAATTTTGTCGCGAGCCCTTTCCTGAGTCTATAGTAAGACCCCCAATATCAGGTGCCGATCGATCTCCTGCAGTTGCAGCTGAAGAGTAATCCGATCTTCTAAATTTGTTAATCGTTGATCCAATAAGTGTCACACAACGCAAATCTGTCCAAACTAACCTGAACTTTATACTCAGCTCTCGAAACTTGTCTCGTGCCTGTCTTGAGGTCAAGCCTTCAAACTCGATGCGATGGTCTATCCTTCCGTGATCGTACAGCTGTTCAGCGGTCGGGAAAATTCGGCCTTCGTGTCCTGGGTAAGGACAAGGGTAGGCCCTGGTGGCTGGGCTTTGAGTTTTGAGCGCCTGAGCAAACTTCGATTGTACAAATTCACCAGTATCCATTATGTGACAAGAATTTTCAGGTGTAGATCTCTCTTTCGTACTCGGGATGGCGTATGCGCCAGGTATTTGGTAGGAAAGACGCAGATGAATTGTTGATTGGTTGTGTAGATCCCCACATTCCCGTCTTGCGCCGCGCACTCAGGTTCTGGCGTGGCAAGAATCTTTCGACTCTGAAGTCCACGCAGGATCTGTCGGATGCTGTTATTGCGCGATATAGCACATCAAACTGACCAAGAGTCAGTATCAGTTTGGGGGCCAAAAGGCATCTACGCGAACTGTTGAGTGTGCTCTACCTTTGCACTGACGCAACTTGTCGGACGACCAAAGTGGCGGCGTCGCGGCTGTGGGGAACGGAAGAAATATAAGAAGCCTTTGAGATTCGCATCAATCTTGGAATGCAGGTGTATTTGATCGGAGAGGAAAAGAGCGCAGAGCCTCAGTCAAGGTGCTAAAAAGATAGTTCGCAAAGTTGCAAAGCAGGCAACAAGGCGACAGTCCCACGGGTAGTCAGATCCTAGTGGGCCACCGATGCGGCCACACTCCCGGGAGGCCGCCAGCCTCTTTGCATGACTGTAGGACACAGGGGCCAGCCATGTATCGAAGGACCTGCTGCCTGAAGTCATTTGCATCCTCATAAAGTAGGCAAAGCAGGCATGCGACGCGCTGGCTTTATCTATGCTGGCGTCTCTCAGCCGCCCCCACAATGACCGCTCCATGCACGGTCTTTCGGTACACTAATTTGCGCCATCACGTTCGTGATGCTTTAGCCATCACCCGGAGTAGCTATAGCGCATATTAACACTAACGCGAGCCTAACTATGCGATATTCTTGCGAAGACGTTCAGCAAGGTGACCGTAATCACCTAGCTTCCGTGCTGGTCACCGTTGCAGACACAGTCTCGTTTTTTAAGCAGCTTCCACCCACCGCCGAGCATGTATAGTAATAATCACGGAGACGCCGTGATCATCAAGGTTGACCATATCCTCAGAATGGTTGTTCTACTCAGCTCACTACAAGAACGAGTGCGCCGCTGACCATCCTTTCAGCTCACTTGTCAACCTCTCATTATTCTAATGTTAGCATACTAGTGAGATACGTTCGCTTTCCGCGGCCGTCAGCGTCATTGGCAGACTTGGATGGCGTCTATGGTATGTATGAGGATTTGTATACAGCCGCAGAAGGCAAGGAGATGCGACGCCGTACGTTCCAAGCCTCCGAATCGAGTCACGAAGGGCTTTCAGTATCGAGCTACCTCTTGAATGGCATGAATGCCAAATTGCTGATCTTGAAACGGGGCAGCGTATTGCGAGAGACAGGTTTCAGTCGCCTTCTAATCAGAACCAATGACCGGACGGCCGACACGACTAGCCGACGATCCAGAAATTTATGACGAGAGACTGGTGGAAGGACGCATTTTCGTCCTCCAATATCTTTGCTACATTGGCCTTGCAGCGTATAAACGGAGACTCGCAGAGTAGCGATGATTCTAAAGTTGCCGTACCACTAGGAGGCACACGTCATCTGTACTTGGGCATGCTAGCAGTACCCGGGTGGCTGGGAAGTCGCACGTGTCATCAGCAATTCGTGTCAACGACCATGCGATTGCTCAAACGCAGATTCTCGTACTATCTGCTGCTGGATTGACAGGTGTCAATCTTGCACATGGCACTGCTAGCGCTCAGATAGCGGACTGTGTGTTGGTGCTATGAGGCAGGGTGTTCCAACATCAATGGACCATTAATGCTCCATCTGCTATACGCAACATGGTGAAAATTCGAGAAACCAGCTGGGAGATTCGAGGTCGGCGAGTCAGCCATTCGGGCCTATGCTCGTGCGTTCTTGCTGCCTTACATTCAACCGGTGAAAGACGACAGATGGAACGTGATTCCAAGAAGGAACCTTCAACTCACATTGCTCGAGACAAGAATTATACGGCTATATCTGTATGCTTGAGATATGTTACATAAAAGCGAAAGGTACTTTGCAGTGTCAGGATTTTTAGCCACAAGATGATAAAGGAAAGTTGTGTTATACGTTTGATTGCTTACAGAGAATACTTAAGCACTACTTACTGGAAAAATCATGCGAAATTGATGTCTGGATATACTGTCACTCATCGAGATGAACCGATGCCACTACCGAAGTTGGACCAGCCTAACGAGAATGGTCAGGCCCGAGTCAGGCCCAAGTCAGGCCCAGATTCACTTATGTGTACCGCAATAGTGAAACAAAGGTGATTGATAGCCAGTGCTTAAAGTTCAAAAAGTTCAATGAGCAATAGGTCAAGTTTTCTTATGTTGCATTCTCTGTCTTGTGTCTTCGCTTACCCGACGAATATCAGCAATACTCAGTTCGAGTCTCAAACTTGTATTTGCTTCCGCTTGTGGGCGATCCCTAAAGTAGCAAATCGATCATTTGTCGGGTACCCTTCGCAATTGATACCAGTCAACCGGAGCTTATCTTGTCAAAAATGATTGTGGCGGTAGCATGGCATCACGTAGCTCGTATGCTGAAACGTTGTCTTGCCCAAAAGTGAGGCTTGTGATGCAAGACTTGGCGCGAGTTCGAAGATGTAGTGGAAACGTGGCATGTCTTCCGTGTTTAGAGAAACGCCAGCCTGCAGACCGTTCGTGAGTGTTACGTCGCCTCCGTCATCCCGAAGGTTCATCTTTGCCATGATCGGGCTTGCATATCTCGAAACAGCTTATACTGCTGCGCTCGGAAACCACATCAGGGAACCAATTTTACATGATGAGGGATACCATCATCTCTCGGATTAAACGCAACCTCGGAAGCTCTTGTGTGCTGATCATTCTCAAGACTTGATTGCCATACCTCAAAGCTTATCAGGCTGATGCAGATGTGAAAATATATAAAATGGTTCCACAGCTGTTGGAAGAAAAGATATCGTAAGTATGATTGTATAATGTAGACTACATGCACAATAGTCTCTGTCATGTCATGAAGATTAGGGTTCTGTATGTAATCATTGGCTCAATGAGAAAGTACAACTGCTCGAATCTGCAAGCCCGGGCTGCGGCAGCACATCCCAATGTCCCGAGAGCACACATCAAATAGGTAGTGTTGTACAACACTACGAGTGGGGTTGCACGATTGCCCTTCCGCCGAAAGCGGTACTTTGTGTGCTCAGGGCTTCTTCACTTATCGGAACGACATCCATGACCAATAGCTGTTTGATCTCAATGTACGAGGACGTCCAATGATTCGTCCTTAATGCAGGGAGTTATGTCGAGTGGTGCTTCGTCAGGGCAAGCTCGAGGAGGCTGACCGAATTTTGGGTCAAAGTGATACGTGCTTACACGTGCAGGCAAGCGACATGCATGACTCTAAGTGCCGAATAGGTTGCACACGTAGTTCATTTGCAACCACTAGGTTATTTGCAAGCTTATTGCAGTAGTCCGGTATCTCGGTTCTGAATTACCAAGTAGGATTCAGTGGGACAGTCACAGACTGGTTCATCCTGCGAAGGGATACTGTGACACTTCCTACCGACCGTCGTATATCACGCGCAGATTAACTTCCGGTCTATCTGCCTTTTCTGCTAGACAGCGATGCACACTCCCATCGACTACTGAAGGCTGACATATTGATCGAGATAACGATACGATCACCGAATATATTGTTGTTTGCTTTTGGAAAGCCTTGCCGTTGAGTTCCAGCATATTTATTTGCTGATTCCGGAAGCATGTTAGGCCCCAAACAGGATCATCGTCATTTTAGCAAATCAACAAGGCTCTACTGCATGTCCACCCCGATGTGCGAGCACGTGGACAGGTCATCAATTGGAAAGCTAAGCACTAAAACTATCTACGGGCGAATGCCATGCGCGAGTCTGGAGAGCGATCTTGAAGGTTGTATAACGTAGTTGCTTTTATCAGATCGGTACACATACCACATAAAAACAGGCTGTTGGCAAGAGGATGCACGGCAGACGCTGAAAAAGGGAATACTGTTCATAAATCAATCAGGGAAAGGGTGTTCATCGACACGTCTGATACATGTCTTTGGCACTTTATGTTACATGCGCTTGGGGGCTTAATAGTATCACGAACGCAATCGTGTGATGTCCTTGATGTCCAGGCAAGGGTTCGACAAGTGAGGGGCTTTCTAAGGCAACAAGGCTGTGAATGGAGCGATTACGCAATTTCAGTGCTCAGGAACCATTAAGCGAGATCGCGAGTTGGGGGCCGAAAGTGGCAGGGCACTTGTCGTAGGGCTGGCGAGTCCTTCATGCAAGTGCACGTTGACCTCTCCTAGGTCAACCAATGATCACTCTGCCGCTCCTCATCTCCGTTGTTCGCATTCTTGCGCACTATTCAACTATCCGTCCAAGAATTTCAACTACAAGCGAGATCGGGAAACAGTCCCATACGTATAATCTGACCGATGGCAACTGTTCAGCCGCAAACTGTCATCCGGACATCCTGACTGGCACTTGAAGCGCTAGTTACATGTTCTGAAACATAACAGTTTTAGTTTGCGGCCAATTGCGCAGAAAGCGGAAAACGCAAGATGATTTCAACAGCAGACTTGAATTACGACATGTGAAAGCTTTTTTACATGCCTTACGAGCCCTTGACCACTTGTGGAAATAACATGTCCAGGTTTTACAAGGCAACAGTTTCGACCTCAGGGTAACACCCTGTAGACGACTCACCGGTTTGAACACTGAGAAACTATGTGCGCAAGAGGCAGATTTCTCGCACCTCTCCTGACCTTTTCCTTCGCTTCTTCGTTCTGAGTTCACAAAAGGGTAGCTCTATGCTGACTGGAAGCTATACGCTAAGAACCGACAGAGACTATATGACTTGGAACAAAAACAAGTCCATATGTAGAAAGATGGTTCTATCTCCTGAATCAACTTGGGATCATGGTATGCACTCACCGGACTGTTGACTGTCTACGAAAAGGTCGAATAGAGAAGACAAAGGCCAGAGCATGTGAAACTGGCCCCTGTCCATCTCGCTTGAGTCCACGGACGATAAGTCGCAGTCGAACGACATAACTTATGTTTCATCTTACAATCGTCCGGGGAGATTAGACCTAAGTTGCGCTGTCATAATTGGCCCAGATCTAACGAGATCGCTCTACCCGGTTCTATACAAGAAGCTGACCATCCCACACAAGATGGTCTATAACATTTCGCAACCACTCACAGCTGTATCAACGCTATTTAGTCCATACCCAGGACAAGCGGGCTGTCAGACGCTTCTGTAAACACATCTGAGAGGATGGATTTCGCTTTTAGCGATGGAAATAGTTTCTTTAGACAGATCACATCGATATCCTCACGGACCAAGTATGCACAAGTGAAAAAGAGAAAGTAACCCAACGTGAACCGAATTTGAGCCAAAAAGGGACTGGCATCACTCTGTTACTTGCAAGAAGATGGTTGGGTCGCGTCGTCTGGCGAAATACTACGCGCCACAATGACTTACCATGTAGCCCTAGTATCGTGGCCTTTCGCCCGTAGGCAACGTCCTGGTAAGGGGCGCATATGTTTGCACGAGCCTTTGTTAGTATACCACATACTTGGATATGACCGCGGTCAAGTTCTTTGACCTGATGACGAATTGGGTGGCTGTGTTGTTGCGTCGTATTGAGGAAATGCTATATGGCAACGACTACTTCTTAACAGCTGACCGGATTTGAATGGTAGTCATGGGGTCATCGTATTGAGGCAGAAAGAAGTAAGCATGCCAGTCTTCAAAAAGTTAGAAATAAGTCGTTTGTGCGATGCGATCATTGACGGCTGACGGCGCAACTTGATTGTGGAGATTAGTCGCACATCCTCCACAATCTATCTCCGAAGGGGAAGCTCTCTACATCGTAAACAAACCCCAAACCGTATGTCATACTTGGCGATTTAGAGTGTGTTTTCCAATTTCCTAGTGCTAGATAGGCGAAGCAATAGCTCGTATATCGAGTTGGACAAGGCTGAACGACTGACTGATGCGAGTAAACGAGGTTTTAGTTTCGCGCTGGTAGCCGTTACCCAACCCATTGCTACGCGCCTCAACATGAAGTCATGGAATGTTCGTCCGAGGAAGACCTGCTGTGGTCCTGTGTTACGACACGATACGACACGATACGACACGTCATCTCAAGTCTGAATACTGCAACTGATATCTGCGAAGAGAAGACGATGACAATGACGATACTTCGCGAACTTTTCCGACTCAGAGAGTGGAGAAGCTTGTAAAGATCAGCGTATCAACATTGTGGGAATAGTGGAACACCTGTTATGACATCACCTTGAAGCAACACAAATTGAGGCGAACATCGGCTCGAGTCCTGCATAATAAACGCGCTTGCATGGTCGACCATATATGGCACGCGCATGCTTTGCGCGACCGTGGTTTTCGTATCGGACCCTCTAATGTGGAAAGACTTCGGGGTCACTCAGTTACTCCGCGCGCGAGGCACCAGAACAATCGTCCCCGCTTGTCTGCGGGGTTCTCCGTGCACCAACCAGCCAGCTCGCGCGGAGGATTTCACCGACAGCCATCGCAAGCCATGCCGTTATCACAGCTTAGTGAGCAACAACGAGCAACCATTACCGACCGCACCCGAGTATGGGAAGTAAGACGCTTCTGCCAGGTGTTGCCATCTGTCGTCAAATACGTACGCGGCTCGGAAGCTGGCCTCACAGGCACGCTTCCAGAGCGGCAGGGACGTTATATCAGAAATGAACCGGATGGCGCGCTCGCTGCTATGCTGCGTTGCATTATCCATCAAACGGGTGCCGATTTGGCAATGGTCAGCTTGCTAGACGACCATACTCAATACTTCATCTCGGGGGCCAGTCGGGATAATGCGAATGATGCCAAAGCCACACTGGGTAAGTGAATTGGATACCATGCTAGAACTACACTAGCAGAGAATCTAACTTATATAGAAGATTCAACGAAATGGTATGGATGCGAATCGGTGACCCATCATGGAGGTTTGTGTGAGCGGACCATCACACGCCAGAATCAGCCCGGCAACTTGGCCATTTATGAAGAGCTCGACATGGCCGCGTCGGAGAGAACCAAAGACCTGCCTTTTGTAAGGGGCGACATCGCCAAATTCAGACACTACGTGGGTGTTCCCCTCAATCCTTATGATGGACCAAATATCGGTACGGTATTCATATTCAGTTCCACGCCGTCGAAGGAAGGCTTGTCAGAGACTCATCGTTCATACTTGTTTGAAACAGCATCACATATTATACGGCACTTGGAACAAGCAGTAGAGGCGCTGGAAGGCAAAAGATTGCTCAAGTTCAACCAAGGTGTGGCTTCGTTACTGAGGATGGGTTCCTCTGCAGGACTGGCGGCTGAGTCTGCGCAGGAGCAGCCTTTGCCAGAGAGTCGTGACGAGCAGCATTCTCTGGTCTCGAACCTGTACAACGATCCCGCTCTACGATTATATCAGCTATCAGCGACGCTGCTTTACGATGCTTTCGAGTTTGATGGAGTTCGGATTCAAGAACCAGGACCCTCGGGTAACTTCGTCAACAGAAATCCCGCCTGGAATGGCTCTAGTATATTAGCAGAGCATCTAGGACCCAGAGCTCATAAGCCTCAGAGCCTAAGCCATACATTGACTAGCCGACTACTCGAATTATTTCCTCAGGGGGCTGTCTTCCAGGTGCTCGACGAGAAAAGCAAGATTGTTGCTGCTACAAGTGCAAGTGACATTGCTCTAGTTGATGATCCAACGATAACAACGGAGTTGTCGAGGTCTTTTCCAGGTGCAGTACAGATCGTTCTGATGCCGCTCTGGGACACCTTCCATGAACGGACCACCGGTGCAGTATTGGGATTTGCCAACACTCAGTCTAGGGTATACCTCGGCTCGACGGATCTTGCGTCTATATCTGCGTTTTGCACGACCATCATGACGCAAGTGCGGCGTCTAGAAGCACAAGCTATGGACAAGATCAAATCAGACTTCCTCGGGTCAATATCTCACGAGATGAGGACACCACTACATGGCATGCTATCAAGCCTTGAGCTTCTAGCTGATATACCGCACAATGCACACCAACACGACTTATTAGAGACTGCGAGATACAGTGGCCTATCACTACTTGATACCATAGAGCGTGTTCTCTATTTCAGCAACATAAGTTCTGGATCATATAATCTAGAACACACCGGATCCAATGTCCCAAGCGAAGGACTCGTTCATCCATCAAGCCTTGTACAACACAAGCCGGCAGCTTCCCCGAGGGAGAGTGACACTGTAGGGGCTATTAATATTTGCGAAGATATCATACATAGTGAGTCGCAAAGGTTACGTCTCAAAGAGGCTGTTCAATCTGAGCCCTCCATGGGTTAGTGCACTGGTAGTCCGTACTAAAAGACTGGCTCAAGCTCATGTTCGACAGTTGCGATACATCCTCCGATTATAGTGTTCGATACGAATGCCACATGGTCCTGCCGCCTGAAGGCTGTCGGTAGCTTTCGCGTAATCTTAACTAACTTTATGGTAAGTTACTCAACAAACATGTCTATATAAACCATACTAACACTGAAAAGAACAATGCCTTGAAGTTTGGTGAGTCGACAAACTGTGTTCGAGTTTCATTGAACATCACGGATGATGCCATTAGTGTTTCTTGCACGGACGCTGGGCAGGGCATAGCTTCGGACTTTATTCGCCATTCGATTTTTGATCCATTTTCTCAAGAGAATCCTGTCACCGAGGGTACTGGTCTCGGACTTTCTATAGTCAAGCAGACGGTCACTATGTTTGATGGTGATGTACAGATCGAGTCGAGCAAGAAGCAAGGTTCTACCTTCACCGTTAGGCTCCCATCGACTCAATTGCTGCACCGCCCACTGGATAGTGCAGCAGAGTACATCGACACTCAATCTAGTACTGCTGAGTTGCCTCAGCTAGTGATCAGTCTTTTCACTCCAAGACGGTGGGAGACGGGCGATGGAGTGAGAGACCAACGGCGACTTGGATTACTACTAGATTCGCTTACGCAAGGTCTAAGACGGTGGTTTCGTATCACGGTCATTCCTTGGGAGATTGCAAGCATGAATTCGCAGTCGCGGCTGCTTATCGCTTTGAAAGAAGACGAAGAGAGCGCAGAACTGACCTACGGTGGCACGTACAGCGACGCTGAGCGTATCTTGCTTTATCCAGATATGCAAACCGCGCTCAGCCCGCACACAACGCCTTCTGAAAAGATCGCAGCCATTACTGGCCCAGTGACTATTTCAAAACTTCAAGGTGCGCTGGCGCACTTGTTCCCTGATATAGTCTCATCTCCCGAGCTTCGCCGCCATTCCGACGCTACATCAGTAACTACGGGACGTCAAAAGCCACTGGGCGGAGGAAACCTCAATCAGTCGAATGTGGAAACAAACGACACATCCGACGACCTACCGATATCATCACTGTCAGATTTAGTGCTCGAAGAAAACCCGAAATCAGACGGCGGAGAAAGCGCTGTGCATCCACAGTCAATGCCAGCAGCCACCCAGTCCAGAACTCCAGAGGTACAAGCATCGAGAGAGCCCATCGAAGCACGGCCACCAGAACAGAACATACAATTACAGACAGTGCAAGTAGAACAGCCGAAGTTGACTACGCCATTGAAAGCACTCGCAGCGGAGCCGAAACTATTGCTTGTCGACGACAACGCTGTTAATCTCAAGGTGCTTACCATGTATGCACGCAAATGTAGCAAAAAGCCTGCAACGTCTGTAGGTGGTGGTCAGGAAGCCATTGATGCATTCAAAAGCGCCATGGAACCGAATAACGGTGAAGCTGCGCAACCTTTTGATCTTATCTTCCTCGATCTCTCGATGCCAGAGGTCTCGGGCTTCGATGTAGCGAGGGAGATTCGTGAGATGGAAGCACGATTGAAGCGTGATAGGACGTACATATGCGCACTAACTGGGCTTGTGAGTGGGAAAGATCGTAATGCAGCATACGAGTCCGGTGTTGATAATTACCTTGTCAGGCCTGCACGGCTGAAAGATCTACAGGGTGTAATTGAGCTTTGGAGAAATAGCCTAAGTCAGTAATAAGAAGAAAACATGGTAGATGTTTGTCTCAATGTGCTTCTCGTATCTCTCGGTGAATGTGACCTACGGAAGCATCAAACATATGGTCTGGTTATTGATGAAATACAGATGCTCGAACATTAGGAGACTAGCTAGGAGGTCACGTGTCTCTTCCATATCTCCAGGTTCGTCCAGCGTGTTCGAAGCGCTACTGTCTGTGCATCAGTCGATGATGATAAGATAAATGCAGAGGACATGGCTCTCTTCAACATGTCTCGCCAGGGGAAAGAACGACTGCGAAAGCCACATTCCAAAGCAAGCAAGACATTGGTCCATGGCACTCGGACGTATATGCACTAGTGCCCACGGAGGACTAACGCGCCCGAAATGCCGATCGCGTGGGATCTGATAATCAAGTATCGCAACGTCATGATCCTGTATCTACGACGAATCTGCAAAAGTCTCGCCCTGTCAGCCCTTTTGTGGAGGAGCGCTAGCGGACGTAATGTCGCGGACAAAGTGTTGAAACACGACCTTGACTACCTTCTCCGCTCCTTCTTACTGCTGACCGTCGCGATTGTTGGCGGCTTTGAGGCGTTCTATTCTTGGTAAGCTGAATTCGCACTTGTACCCGATGCCGAAGATGATTACAATCGCCGTCATTAGCTTGCAACTAGCGAGGCGCGACGTTTCTTCGCCCATCACCGTGTCACCTAATGAGGGGAAGACTGACTGGAGACGTAGTCGAGTTACAGCAATGCGCACACGCTCGTGAATCAAACAGCGCCCCACGATACCCCGGATCCCCACCTTCGACAGCAAAAACACATGACGCGACAAGAGTTGGAGAACACAAGCGATTCGAGATGGCTTCCACGACAGACGCCGCCTTTGTTGAGGATATCGAGGTGGAGCAGGAGTTTAGAGCGCGCGTCAGGAATCTCAAGAAGGCGAACAAGTTAGGGGCAAGATCTTCAGGACCCGACAGCGATAACGAAGACGCGCCGCTGCTGGGTTCTTCGAGGCACAACAATGGGGGTGCGAATGGCGATGGAAATGACAACGAAGAAGAAGAAGAATGGGCAGGAGATGCCGACTTTCGAGGTCTTCCCTGGTGGAAGCGGCCCTCGGTACGCGCAACGAATCGCCTGCACTCAGAAATCACTGGCTGACGGTCACAGATATTTTGGCTATTGCCGCCCTTCCTACTGTTCACCATAGCCTTCGGTGGTATTATAGTACCCAAAATCAACCTGATTATGGATTTGGTGTGCGAAGATTACTATGCTACTCTGGAGACCGATCCAATATCCTCTCCCATGGACCCGGGGCAAGATCGATGCCAAAACGACGCCGTTTCCTCTCGCTCATCGCTCTTCCTTCTATACGCCAGCTTGTGCTCCGGTATACTCTCTGCTATCATAAGTCCAAAGATTGGTGCGCTCTCAGACCGATATGGAAGGAAGAAATTCATGATTGCCAACACCTGTGGTGCGCTTTTCGGTGAGGTGCTCACCATACTGGCTGCCAAGTTTCCCGAGACTGTACACGTCAACTGGATTCTTGTCGGCTACTGCTTGGAAGGCATATCCGGATCCTTCATCGTCGGCATGGCATGCGCGCACTCCTACGCATCTGACTGCGTCGCACCACAGAAACGGAACGTTGCCTTTTCATACTTTCACGCTTGTCTGTTCGGTGGTATCGCCATTGGGCCTGCACTGGCTGGATACATCATCAATGCGCGCCAGAAGTACGTTGGCAAGACTGAAGCTGTCTTGCTCATCTTCTACATGGCTCTCGGTGCTCACTTGATCTTCATCGCGTTCCTCACATTCCTTGTTCCCGAATCCCTCAGCAAAGCACGCCAGGAAGCTGCGCGTGAGAAGCGTAGGGAAGAGCTTGAACGACAAGGTCCTGCTGGAGATTTCATTAACCAATTACGCTCCATCAACCTCTTTGGTCCTTTAAAGATCCTCTGGCCAACCGGCCCTGGAACATCATCTGCTGTGCGTTGGAATCTCCTCTTGTTAGCCGCCACAGATACTATCATGTTTGGTGTCGCAATGGGTGCGATGAGTGTTGTGTTGGTCTACACTCGCCGGCAGTTCGACTGGCATGAACTAGAGTCTGGTCGTTTTACCACCATTGTGAATAGCTCCCGTGTGTTCGCTCTTCTTGTCATCTTGCCTATCCTAACGCGCATCTTCCGCGGTAAGAATGGCGCGGCGCGTCTGCGCAGCTCGGGCTCTGATCTGTTCGATCTCTCTGTCATTCGAGCCGCTATCTTCTTCGACATGGCTGGTTTCATTGGCTATGCCCTTGCCCGCAAAGGCGAACTGTTCGCGCTCTCTGGAGCTATCGCTGCTGTTGGTGGTATCGGTTCACCCACGCTTGGCGCTGCGTTGACGAAACACGTACCACAGGATCAAGTCGGTCAATTGCTAGGTGCAACGGGTCTACTTCACGCCGTTGCGCGTGTGGTAGGTCCAACTATCTTCAACGGCATCTATAGCGCGACTGTTGGGACATACCGCCAAACTGTCTTTGTGTGTCTTGCGGCAACCTTTGGAGCCGCGTTTGTGTGCAGTTGGTTTATTCGTCCACATGGTAAGTTGCAAACACATCCCCATTGCATGGTTGACGCTCATACAACACAGTATATATCGACGAAGATGACAAACGCGCTGCGCGGGCGGATGGACAAGAAGCATAGCTTGCTTCCCTCCATGCTGGCGCTTCAATCGCAATCATCTCGGTACCTTAGATCTTTCGGACGCCATGTTCTTTTTCATCGTATATATCAGTGTAAACAGCGGGGGCGTTTGGGAAGGCATTTTGAAATGGATTACCTATTGTTATCTTGAAAGCCTGTATACTTATGGTAGACGCGGTGGCCCAACATATTTTCCTATAATGATCAAGCTATTGGCCCTTCATTATAGACTTCCTCGCATAGTGTTTGCTTACATGCTGCTGTTCAGGAATGTATAGAGCTATCTGCAAGCTGTGGACTGTGGGCTGTGAACAAGATATCATCACTCTCACGATCGTTGTCTGCCTTGCAGCAGCCTCTAATTGCCCGTGCCTCCATCACCCTGTGTACAACGACGTTGCGATCGTTGTCGCTGCTTGATGTCTTTCGTGTCCCAACACTCGCGCTCCTAGAATCCAAGTCCGGCGAACATCTACAGTCGTATCAGTTCGGATAGCACACTCTTAGTTCGTACATCGAGATGCCCATTTCTGATGGCACATCTTCGAGATTGGAGCTCTTATAGAGTGCTGATGTTTCATCCTTGAGTGTATCGCACGGATGCCGAACCTGATGATGTTTGATGCCGACCTCGATTTCTTTACTGTAGCCCATACCGTGTGCATAGCTTGTATTTGCTGGTTTGTTACCCAGGTAGGTTTGGGACAGCTGGTAGCTTACCGGCGCTATAGCGGGGCTGACTAACGACCCTCGGGCCGTCAGGTACGTCAGCTTCCACGTTGCATCTTTCCATGCCAATTGGCTGTCGCGCAACCATTACTACTTTCACTCTTCATCTGTCGCGTTTCCTCTGAGCCGCTTCAAGCTTGGGTCTCAGCGGTCGCGACCCCAACTCAATGTCAACAGCATTCCGGTAGCATCATCACTGGACAGCCCTCTCTAGGGCCCCGCAATCGCCATGTCGAAAGAGAACCGCGCCTTCGATACCCAGAGATTGGGTGCTGGTTATGGCTTCGAGTCGCACCCAAAGCGCGCTATTGAAATGCCCCCAACATGGGTCCTTCTCGTAGGCTTGGGCTTTCTGCTATGTGCAATGGGCTTCTGGGTATGAATTCATACGCGCATCTGAAGTGATGCACGCGACTAATGCGACTACTTGTGATAGCTCTACATAGCATTGAATCTCCTAGCACCCACTCCACGACTGCCACGACGCTCCGAGAAACAATACACGACAATTCTACCCGACGGCGCAAGAAGCCATCCAAAGGAACTTCCGTGTTGGCTGGATAAATGGGCGGCAGAGAAGGAGGCAGCGAAGAGAGAAGCAGCGAAAGAGCCAGGAAGCAAGGTTGTCATACCACCCCAGATGCCTATTGAGGAACCAGAGCTGTTCATGAGCGTCGTGGTACCTGCATACAACGAGGAAGAGCGTCTGGAGGGCATGTTGGAAGAGGCCGTTGACTATCTGGAGAGTCAATATGGCGATGCGCATGCTGGTGCGAAGGGTGAGAAGAGCCAGAAAGGATGGGAGATCCTCATTGTGAGTGATGGCAGTACCGATGGCACCGTTGACAAAGCGCTGGAGTTTGCGAAGGAGCATCAACTCAGCCAGCATCCAAAGTCAAAGCCAGGGCCATGGTCGAAAAACGGTGACGCAAAGGCACCACATTCCACACACATTCCACACGGCAGCATCCGCGTCATTACACTTGAAGAGAACAGAGGCAAAGGTGGAGCTGTCACACATGGCATGCGACACGTTCGAGGCCAGTACATCGTCTTCGCGGACGCAGACGGCGCAAGTCGCTTCTCTGACCTCGGAGCGCTTGTCGATGGCTGCCAAAGCATAGAGGACAAGCATGGACGTGGTGTCGCCATCGGTTCACGAGCTCACCTTGTCGGTAGTGAAGCCGTTGTCCAGCGCTCCAAGCTCCGCAACTTTCTCATGCACTCGTTCCACATCCTCCTGCGGATCATGACACCTCCGGCTACTGCGCGCATCAAGGACACACAGTGCGGCTTCAAGCTGTTCTCGCGACCGGCGTTGCCGTACATTGTCCCGTACATGCACTCTGAAGGTTGGATCTTTGATGTCGAGATGTTGATGCTCGCTGAAAGTGCTGATATCGCCATGATTGAAGTTGCGATTGGGTGGAAGGAGGTCATGGGCAGTAAGCTGAATGTTGTCTGGGACAGCATTGGGATGGCGTGGGGTCTCGCGCTTTTGAGAGCTTGTTGGATAGCAGGCATCTATCGTAGAGACTAAGTGGCTGAAGGTAGCAAAAGATATTCTGTTCTAGGTTGTACAAGCAAGTCCTTCGTGTGAACGCTATCACCGAGTTCCGTTGAGCCGTTCAGATGCCGCCAATTGCTAGGTACGAAAAGCTTCTCAAAATCCTCAATCGCCATATGGTACATGTATCCGTTATTTTGATGATGAGACATCACGCTAACGATATTGGCTACCACAGAGTGGGCGTCGCCACTTTGCGATCGTTTGCTCATCAGGATTGGACGCATATTGTAACATGCAGAAGTCAATTGTACGCTTGAGCTTCTTAAAACGTACATTGTCTTTTCTTTCGATGATCGGTTGGATAACGCTATATCCGTCTTCGGAAAGCATCATCTACTCCATCAGTTGATATCTCTTCTGCACCAGTACATAGTCACTTTCTTCATTATTCATATCACATCCCTTCCAATATATACTTCTTGTAACCTTCACATGCTGGCGCAAGCTTTGATCGCATCCAGCTCATGGAAGTCCAGGATATGGCAAGGACGGTTCAATGATGGACATCATCGATAGATGCACAAGAAGATGCACATAGGTAACTCGAATGTAATTATGCGCTTTTGCAGCCCCCATCAGAACACATGTCCTTGGATATCTCATTGCTCACTCAAACCTCGCGATCCATCCATCACCAACCCTCTCACCTTTTGCGTCCACTCCACCCCAGAAGATTAGACTACTGCCTGTCTCCATAACATCCGCACCGAAAAATGCTCTCGGACCAGGATGCAGCTTGCCATCTTCTTCCTCCAGTTGCTTGTCTGAAGGTAGCTGTACTACCGCCTCTGCCCAGGACAGATGCCCTGTATCAGCACCCAAGGCAGACCTGATAGCATCTTTGATTTTTGCTGGATTGATAGCGTTCTTGAGCGTCATAGATGGCTTAGCCTCCAAGTCACTTGAAGGTATCTGGAGGACCCAGGTGTCGCTGAACTGAGTGACCTCATCCGCATGCTTGGGATCTTCTGGCTCAGTGTTCGAAACATCAGCAGAGGAGTTGTTACGAGCTCCAAGGAGATAGACAAGGTAGTTTCTACCCCAGCCAGTAGTTACCGGCAGTAACGCTCCATCATGCCGTGCACGAGGGCCTGGTGCTAGTGGGTTGGTTGGAAACGTGAAAGACTCCCACTTTCTCTCTTCACTCGACGAGGAGACGCTGATGTGATGCAGCTGACTGCTCATAGGGTCGGAACCAGATATCAGCCATAGTTGACCGTTCGCTAGTGCAGCATTCGATGTTGCGACTGGTGCTGTCGGAAGCTGCGTCCAGTAGCGCGCAGCGATGTCGAATTGCCATAGATCTGATGCGTTGTCACCAGAGCCATCCACTCCACCAAACAGTATCAGGTGCTGATCATGCGCAAAAAGCTGGGCATTGCGACGTGGGCCTGGGCCAATGTCTCCTGTTTCGACATCTCCTTTTGATGGTTGCAAAATATCCCAGCTTTTCCTCTCGGGGCTGAAGAGCCAAACAGAGGATTGCTCATCGATCAGACCGCCATTATCGTCGCTACCGCCGTATACGGCTACATTCCCATGAAATGCGCAGGCTGCATGACTCGATCTTGCTGTAGGTGTATTCCCACCCTCAGATGTTGGCAAAGCTGGGATGATACTATAGTCCATCTCTGGTTTCCCAGAATGCTCAAGAGTGACGATATGCACATGGTTGCTGGCAAGAACATTGTTCGCAGTGTCGCCACCGAAAACATAAGCTTTGTTACCGATCACTGTGACTGTGTGATTGGAGCGTGCCAACGAGCGTCTGAAAGTCAGCTGGGTTCTGGCTACAGAAATAGTAAGGTACATACGCCGAAGTATCACCTGTTGCTGTGGCTATGCGTGTAAAGGTAACCTTGAGAGGGAGCGTTGGCTTGGAGACGATGTAAGCAGCGTAGCCTGCTTCCGCGGTGTGTTCAACCACTTCCGCAGCGACATAAGCGCCTGCTGCGATTTCAGCCATGATGTTGGTGCTGATTGGCGAAGGAGTTTCCGACTGGTTACCAGGCAGTGAGTCGATAAAACGTCTAGGATGAACAATAGTGGCAGACGTGGATGGCTTGGAGAGGGGCGAGGGCTAATGCAGGTACGCGGGCGAGGATGACGTCAATGGTTCCACAGCGACTGTATCTGCGAAGTCGCCTTTGGGACGCATGTTGCAACCACTCCGGATGCGTCCATACAACATAATGCACAACACCTACGCTTGTCACAATCAGGACAACACGATCACGGTCGCTCGACTGCGGATCTTCAAGATGACGGTACCATGTCGCTTGGCTCCTCGGAGCTGATCGTAGATAGCTAAGATTTCTAGGGCAACGTACCTCGTTCATTCAATATCAAATCGATGAGACAGATATTGATATTCAAGTATACTCGTCATGAATGCAGTGCTATCATATCAAGCACTATGTTGTCGGACCCTCAAAGCCAACCCGCCGTATCACTACCCAATGGTTTCGGCATGATGTCCCAACCGACGGACAGGCCCTCAATGCAGGCGGAGTGTCTTACTGCCTCGAGGACCCCAAGATGTGTGTGTCGCGATGCTAGATACTGCTTGACATCCTCCGGCTTCTGAAAATCTTTCCGGTCGAATCCACTTTTGCCATCGTATCGGCCTAAGGACCGCATATATTTCATGACAGCAGCTAAGGATACGCTGACCTCGTAGGCGCCCCCATCAGTGGCGCGTTTGTATAATGCAGCTATGATTCCGGTCGCCAAAAGATAACCAGCTCCATGATCGAATGCTTGACAGGGCAGGACGCGCATCGGCTCATTAGCGCCATAGTGCTCGGCCTCTGCCACATTAATACCGGAACAAGTTTGCACAAGTGAATCAAACCCACGGTTTTCAGACCAAGGACCTTCAGGGCCGTAAGCGCTGAGACTTGCCACGATCAGTCTTGGGTTCGCTTCCATCAACTCTGCCGCACTGAGACCTTTTGCCGCTAGGCTTCCAGGACGATAGCTCTGGAGGAAAACGTCGGCTGTGGAGAGTAGATCTAGCAGCTTAGCCTTATCTTCAGGCTTCTTGATATCGAGCTGTACTGTGCGCTTACCGCGCGACAGGTCGATATCTAGATCAGGAAGATCAGGCAAAGATGGCGATGTGATCCATATAACGTCGGCCCCATGCGCAGCTAGTGTTTTTCCAGCCACTGGTGCGGCTATAACTCTGCTCATCTCGATAACGCGAACACCGTGTAGGCACTTGTTCGTCATTTCCGTTGTTGGCTGCGGTGGCATATGCGGCTCACAGTGTGCAATTCTCTCGAAGAGAACAGGGGTATCCGTGATAGCGCTGGCTTGGGGTAAAGCCTCCCATTGATCGATAGATCGTAGCGCAGCGATTACTGCTCCACGTCGCCATGCTTCGGTCTCCAATTCCACAGCTTTCCATTTCGAAACTTCTCGAGTGACATCTTCTTTCGTCGCATTTGGTGGAAGTCCTAGCACATGTAGTGCGTTCTGATGATGATTCGGGAAAGAATCGTGTATCCTCACATATCCATCAGATGCTTTGTGAAATCCACCAATAGCATCCCAGGGTGGGGACGCGGACTTCCCGTCGACAGTGTACAGTCGTTCAGATTTGAACTCGACACACGCGTGCTCGGCTGGAACCGTGACCCGAGGTATTGGGGATGCGTTCCGAACGGACCAAAGTAGAGCTGCCGCCAATGCAGACGTTGCAATGGTGGATTGTGCGAGAATGTCGACTTTAAAAGAGGACGGTAGGCATTTGGCATCTAAAGGTAAATGTAATGAGTTGAGAGCTTCCTGTGGTAGACCCAGCGTCTTCCACACGAATGCAACCGAGCCGAACGCATCAAGGTTCAGTCGACCCATTGGATCTGTCGGTGATAGGGAGACAGGCTCAGCATCCAAGAGATGTATGACGGATCTATGAAGGATGATGAGATGGATACAGGCTGCACTGGTTTGACGACGGTAGGTGTTTAAGCCCAGGAAAGTGAGCCGCGCAGATCTCAAGAATATGGAAATTCATCCGAGTTCCCAGGTCCGAGAATGCAGCGAACTGAGCGTCGGAACATACGATCGGAAAAGTAAGATACGAGACATATCATAAGGCAGTACAGTCACAGATATACAGCCGACGATTGCCGAGTGTCATTATGTAATCAAATCGTGAGCCTAATCGAGTTACCCGCCAGGTTCTTCGGACTTACGCTCAGATTCATCACGTCACGGGGATGTAGAATGTGCTTTCATAATTACTGGAGGCCCTGTCCATAGAGTGCCGGTTATTTGTCTGTGCGTTGGAGAGGACACGTGAATTGTAAACATGTACGAGAATAAATTTAGTACTATACACCAGCTATTTTCCAGACCCAGAACGCCAACACAGTGCAACTCCATGAATGCAAAAACACCTATGGTAGCCCAAACTCCGCTTCATGCGCGTGCGTTGGCCACTATACATCATGTGTTCCACTAAACACTTCCAGCAACTTCTCCAAACCACTGTCTCAATGCTCCGGCCAACACTCCTGGCAACTCTCTGACATCTCTAACGACAAGGTAATACCTGAATGGGAACTGCTCCATATACTTGTACCTCACAATCTTGCCCTCGGGGGTGAACACAGCAGACTGCAAGTCCAAGATAGAGGTTTTCGCTTGGTCCTTCGCAGGCGCCGGCGGCTGGGCACCTGGGTTGTCAGATGGCGCTGGTACCGGTACGAAAGGAGCAGCGGCCGAGCTATCGATAATGATGAAGACGATCATTACACGCTCTTCTTGTGCTTTACGAACAAGACGCTGGATCTCGGCATGGTCATCGCAAAGACCATCACTGACGATGAGCATCAATTGCCAGAGGTCTTCACCTGCTGAACTTGATCCTTTTTGACGAGCATCCTTGAATAGCTCAAGACTCTTGTCAACCAGACCACGGACATTTGTTTTCTTAGCATCGAAACCGAATTGCTCGAAGACGCGTACACCCGCTTCGGAAGTGAATGGCTTGTCAAAGTCATGCGCGACGTTCACTTCGTCCCCGAAGCCCACGACGCTGACTTCACCAACTTCCAGCATCGATAGCGAGCGGGTAACTAGTGTTAGGGTTTTGAGTGCGAGACCACTTGCACCACTGTCGGCCATACTGCCACTGTTGTCTAACGCGATCATGACTTGGTAGCTCCTCTTACTTGGCATACTGCGTCGTAGCCAGATCTTGTCCCGCTTGTAGCCTGAAGCGATGTAGGGGATGATGCGCTTTAAGTTGAGCCGCTTTCCCGTGCGGAAGTCGCCGCGGAGCTTTGTAGCGAGAGTTGGCGCGAGAATGAGGCGGAGGTGTTCTGTGAGTTGTTGGGAAAGCGAATGCGTCGACGCTTCGTGGGCCAGCCAGAGGGCACGTGCGGACGTGGGGTCCATGGCGGATGGTTCAAGGTGGGTGAGCGAGAGCTGGGCTTCAATGTTGTCTGCAGAGGACACTGTAGAAGAAGTGTCTTTGTCAAGTTCGACAGCATCAGCCATGTCTTCGTCTTCTTGGTCGGGGAAGGGTCTTTGTTCGCCGACGAAAGCTTGCGGTTGACCTTCCATAGCGTTCGACTGCGGCTGCTGAGCTTCTTCGTCTTGATCTTGCGTCTCAGGCTCCTCCATCTCGGTGTCTTTATCAGCTTCCATCATCTCTTCGTCCTTGTCTTCCGGCCGAGTCGGCATCTTATCTTCCTCTTCATTCATTGGAAGCGCCATGTCGTGATCCAGAGTTTTCGCTTGGTCTTCTGTCGCGGTACCCAATGCTTGTGTATCAGCTTGCTGTTCTTCATCGCCGAGATGCTCAAAGTCCGCGTCAGCCATGTCGATCTCTTTGTCTATCTGCTGAGCCTGCTTTTCATCCTTCTCCTGGGCGTCTTGAATCTGCTTCTGTTGATTGTACCACTTCTCAAGCACATCGCCCAGCTTTTTGAAAGATTGCGTTTCTTTCGACTCCTCAGGCTGCTCTCCGTGTCCGCCGGCGTCTGGTGCGGCTGTTTGTCCAAGCTGCCCGTCTTCGGTCGTTGGTGCTTGTTGCTGCTCGGCAGATTCTCCCTCTTGACCTTCGTCCTGGTTTGCGGCACTTGCGGAAGCTTGCTCATTCTTGTTCTTGTGTGCTTCCTCGTTGGCTTCGGTACCTGCACCAGCTTCTGCATTGGGATCGGCTTGGTCGGTATCTTTTTGATCACGAACTTCATCTTCTGGCATGTTTTCATCTGGAAGAGGAATGGCGTCATCGTCGTCCATGGGCTCGTCACCTTCATCTTCTTGCTCACCTTCTGGCTGTTCCTCATCTTCAACATGACCAGTCGTGTCTTTCTCATCCTCGCCTTCTTGCTCAGGGCCAATGTCTTCCTCCATGGTATCTGGCTGGCCAGGATCGACCTCCGGATCCATCTCGTCTTCAGGCAGATCGTCACCCATGTCCATATCGCCAAGATCGTCGTCTTCTTTGCCTTCGTCGTCTTGACCATCCATGTTCAAGTCTTCTGGTAAGTCCAATGTCTCCTCTTCCTTTGCGTGGGGATCCATCTGCTCTTTTTCACCAGCACCCACGTTCTCTTCCTGATCCTCGCCTTCCATCTCCATGTCTTCCTCTTCTCCTTCGCCCTCTTTCTTTTCATCTTCCGCTTCTTCCTTTTTGTCCTCGCCGCTCTTCTCTTCCTCCTTCTTCTCGGCAGCAACCTGCTCTTCTTGGTCTTCGGTTCCTACGTCGTCTTTTCCTTCTTTGTCCTTGGCGTCATCTTCCTTGCCTCCATCGTCCCACATTTTCTCGTCTACAGCACTAGGGCCGAGATCATCGACACTGCCAACTTCACTTTGCGCATCGTCGTCTCCTTCCTCACCAGACTCGTCGCCCTTATCCTCCTTCTCTCCTACCTCCTCTGTCTCACCCTCCATCTCTTGCTCGCCCATATCGACTGCATCTTCCTGTTCTTCGATACTTCCCTCACGTTCGCCCTTCTGCTCTTGTGCCAGATCCTCGAGATCTTCGTCGTCCTCGATGTCTTTGGAGATATCTTCAGCGCCTTCTCCTTCACCAAGGCCAGTACCAGACTCAAGCTTATCATCTTTGCCCTTCTGCGGGTCATTCGACTTCTCTGGAGGTTGACAGAAGCCTTGCGTGCCGATTTGGATGAACGACTTCGAGAGACGGTGAAGTAGGTTTGCAGTGGATGCATGTAGAGCGTCGAAACGGTTGACGATATACTTGTGCGTTGCCACGTATTGGTCTAGAATGGGCTTGACGGAAGTGAACAAAGCGATTATCCCTTGTAAGTTAGCATCCTCATGAAGATGTTGCATCTTGTCGAGAAGTGTTTGCAATGTTTCACTGATGTGAGGAGCGTGCAGGGCCATCAGCGCAGCCGAAAGAGCTTGCTCCTCCTTAAGGAGCCAGGACGCGTCATCCGTTGAGGCAGGAATGCCCGTCATTGCAGCCTGCACATCTTGCATTGAACCTAGGACGAGATCCAGAGAAGTGAGTATATCTTTGGCATGAGCCTCAACTGATATGCGCAGACTGTCGGAAGACTGTACAGCGTTGGTAGCAGGATAGCAGAATAGGAACGGTTCGACCTGCTGAAGTACAGTCCTCGCAATGTCGCTGTTAGTAGCGTAAACGCCGAAAACTCTTTGAAGTTCTGATAGGAAAGTTTGAACGGAATCGTTGACTTCTTGGTAAGCCAAGGACTGTACGTTGAGCGGCAGCTTTGGCGATTTGTCGTATGCATCAGCAAGGCCTTGGGCAGTGCTGGCCCAAGCGCGCAAGTCGCGGATCAACGCATCAAGCTCAGTCGTCTTCCCAAGCCTGGCTTGCGCATTCACTACGTCGCTTGCAGTTTGGAGCATGGCAGCGAGCCAACGAAGCTGCGGCTGTACGAAGCCAGATACATCTACGTGTTCTGATACCAGTGTTGATTGGTCGTGCTCCAATTGGCACAGGTCGGCGACAAGCGCCATTGGCGCATTGATCAGTTCGAGACTGCGTGCAGCCTTGCTGAGCACATTGCGCTGCCGGATAGAGGCATGCAACAAACCCTCCAAGTAACCAATACTCCTTGAAACATCGTTTGCGGTCAGATCACCAGAGTGTTCCCTCGTAACTGCGCGGACCTGAGGCATGATATTGAGAGCTTTGTGTAGATGATACTCAGCGGCATGACCAATGCTCTCACTCCCTTTCACCAGAGATACAGTTGAGAGTATTGTCGAAAGCTCATCCTGCTTTGCCAAGGTGTCCACACTCAGGTTTGAGTTGATACCCATCTGCCGCAGCAGTTTCATCGTATCGGCGTAGAGCTTGCGCTTTTGGGTCTTGAGATGTTGCACGGATGCCTTGTTTTCCTCTGTGAGCGTAGTGGGAGTAGCCTTCTGTAGCTCGATGATAGAGCCTGATAGGTCAGTAATAAATTCGCTGATGTATGATGCGCCGTCAACAGTGGCAGTCTTTGGCGTTGTGAGATTGCGCATCATCGAGACCGTGACAGCAAGATTCTTGAAGCGAGTAGGTCTCTCATCCCATCCGGGAATTTTGGTTGCGCAGAGTTCTAGCGCCTTAGGGTTCGTAGCAGTGATGACATTCTCCAAAGAGATGCCATGCAGCAGATGACTTTCATCTGGGAAGCCTGCGTTCATTACGCCAGACACAGGACGATTAAGCAATGCTCTGAACTTGCGGACAAGTTTTGTCAACTTGCGATGATTAGCTTTCGCACTTTGCTTCAAGACCTCGATGTTCGTATCCTTCCAGCTTGCAAGCTTGATGACATCGGTGATTTGCTTTTCCAGGGCTTGGCGACCTTTGGTAAGAGTTTCGTGCACTGGTTTCTCAAGACGCGAGTAGTAGG